GTTAGCCTGACGGCAAGGGAACTCTAACCCATGATCCGTCTGAGAGGATATTTTACGTCAGCACTAAGGTCAATGCTACCATGAAACTGAATTTATACCAACCAGTCATAGCTGTGATTCAAACCTGGATCACCTCATTAAGAGGCGAGTGCTCTATCCCTTGAGTCGCCGGGGCTCGCATTGTTTATATATATATATATATATATATATATAGTTATAGTTATTATTATATACAACTTAATACTAAATTAAGACAATTATTCTATTATTCTTTATAAAAATTATTTTTATTTAAAATTATATAATTATATATACTTTGACCCATTGCACTATGAATTGAATTTAGGATAAATGTTTTCCCCTCTATAAGTATTAAGTATTTTATGCACGATATAAAATTGATTATAATTCTTTATGGAAATTACTTACGAAATTGTAAAGAAGAAAGAAAGTGAAGAGAAAAGAAGTGTGTTGGAAAGGAAAGTACTGTAAGAGAAGATATATAAACTAAACACATATTCTGAAATTAGGTTAATTTGCTTCTTTATCCAAAACCACGGGACCAAACATTTTTTACCCATTGATGTTTATATGTTTTGTTTTCATTTTACTGACTATAACCAATTTCAACCATTTCTACCATTTGTTTATTTGCGTAAATGAAAAAATAAGAAGGGAAAAAAAATTGAAAATGAACTCATCAGAGTTCTTGTACCTTATTCACAAGAAATGGAGTAGAATTTCTTGTGGATGCTACACTAGAGGTTGTTTTTCTACTTGAAGTAATCTTCAAGCAGTGAAACAGTTCTACAGGAATCGCATTAATGAAAAGATAACAGCGTTGAATCTTATTTGTTTTCGGGCCTGGTGATTGCCTTAAGCGTTCCTGACAAATACACAAGCAGTTGAGCATTAATTTCTCAATCAAGATTTTTCAATCAAGTATTTTTTAAATATTTGATTGGACGTGACAAATTATTTGAAATTTAAAGTACAAAGAAAACTAAGAGAAATAGTTCATTTTAGTTGAAACGTAAGAGTCTCGACTTTTCATATCGTTTTATTATTCCTAAATCACAAGAATCAAGGAAAACAGTGTGAATAAAGCACACACACAAAAAAAAACATTGTTTGTTTGTGCTTTATTTACATTGTCTTTCTTTATTCATACGATGCTCAAAGTACATCTTTTCTTCATGTGAAGGATTAGATTATGATTGAGGAATAAAAATCTGAAGAATGAAAATCCTGAAGAACAAAAAAAATTAATATTACAGCAATAATATTAAGAAACTGAAACAGTAAGACATTAATTAATTACAAACTTCCTTCACCTAAAAAATATACAAATTGGAAATAGCAGTTGAAATCCTTCAAGAACTCAAAAATAGGCGCACATTTTCAATACTTGCCAAACTTGAATGATAAGAAAAAAATATTATTTGAAACATAAGAAGTCAAGTTGTCAACGAAAAATAAAAAAGGGGGAGAAACAAAACTAGAAAAATCGCAGCAGTCGAGAGATAAAAAAAAGGTTGGAAAGCAAAACAGGATTTGTTTCTAATCCTCATTTTTCCATTTTTCATTGACAAACTTTACGCTTTATATTTAGACTTTTTTTCTTATCCACGTCTAGCAAGTCTTGAAAATGGGCTCCTTTTCTTGAGCACTTGAAATATGTTGACTGTTATTTCCAGTTTGTATATTTTCGAAGCGAATAAAGTTTCTAACCAAGTAAAAAAATTAAAAATTTGAACTTTATAATCATCGTTTTGCATATTTGTTACACATCTTACGTTTTGATGTTGAAAATAGTGTCTATGATCCAATAATCAGGATTATAGCAATAAACTTGCATGGTCATCGGGAAAAGTTTTGCTAATTGATTGTAAAATAATAATCAAGGAAACTATCAAGATTCAATAGTAAAACAACAGCTAATATAGTAACATGCAAGATTCTAAAAATTAAGTCATTTAGTTAGCAAATAAGAGCAGAACGGTCTAAAAAGCAAGTTTTGTGTATTTTGCAATTTTTGTCTCATGACATCATGACAGCTAATCAAAAAATAATTTTTAAAACTTTAAAATGCATAGAAGTTGGCAAGTATGCTAGAAATCCTAAAACCTGAAAATATTTTTAAACAACATTTTTAGCAACTTTTGCTCAAAAATTATTTAGCAATAGTTTACTTTCAGAAATACAAGCACAAATCTCAAAAAAAAAACGTGCCCTTCCTAAATAAACAAATCTTAATTTTAATACTCCACATAAATTTTTAACACTATAATCTCACAAATATTGCATAATTGAAATAAAAATTTTTAATGTTAAGTTTATAAAGATGCAAAATGGCAGTTTAAAACACACATTTTGATATTTTAACATAAGTTACGGTCTTATTAATTTAGCCTGGAAAGCTTTTAAAAAAAGTAGATTTGGATTAAAATATTTTTAAAAAACGAAACATTCGCTAATATTTATACGAACTGTAAATGAACATTTCCCAAACTCAATGACCAATTTCCTTTTCACTAAGCATTCATTTATTTACGGCGATGTTTCAGAATTTAAACACTCGTGACTATATTCCGATAATGAATGCGACAAAGATATTATTGAATAAAATAATTTCAAACAAATCCAGAATCAATCCTACTTATATCTTATCATATTAACAACAGACACGTATAGTTTTCACGAACAAAAAACCGTTTCATTATATACAATACAAACTAAGAACTTACTTAAATATGCATTCCACTACTTTTTAATCTTGCGTTTCGAATGACTGATACCTTTCCACTTTGCACCAAATAAAAGCGAAATCATTGCGAATTTTGAAAAAATACTAACATCACGAAAAAATGCATTGTATTAATAGGTTTTAAAAACTGTTAAGTATTTGATTTCTTATTCTATGCACTGCACAGCTTTAAAACATAAATTTATCTTTCGTAACTCTTATCGATAACAACTATTGCAGGGAATTTGTTAGTACTCGAAATGATTGGCATTTTGAAATAAAGCTAACAAAAATAATTATTTCCTTTCCCCAACTTTCAACATGAGAATGTCTTATGGTTGCCTTACTCGGACAAATTAGTTTCCCTTTTTACCTTGGCGATAATTGAACTAACAAAAGAACTTGAATAATTTATTAGATGCAGCAGCTTTTCATTGCATTATAGTTACTTGAATTTAAATATCATTTTTCTTCCACTGTAATTTAATAATTGATTTAGAATGTAGATTAAAAATTACTTTACTGGTGTATAAACTTTCCGTTTCCGGTACGGTGAATAGTTACCGACATTATAAAGATGTTATTTGCAGATATTTTTCATACTCTTTAAACACAGATGTATCAAAATTGCGCACAACTGAGAATGTGAAATTATTCTATTTTATTGACATATTACCACTTTTTAATCAATTATCTGTTCTTCAATAAACTCCGCTGTTATTTTATAGTGTTCGTTAACTTTTCTTTCTTTATGTTTATAGAGCGTTTAAAGTTAGAAAATTCAATGGATGTATACATATTGTACGCAATAAAACCCAAAAGTTTGATATAGAATTTGAAATCTATTAAATATCAGTGTACTAATGAATCATTAATTTTCTCATCCATCAATTAAATTCTATGACTGTTAATTTCTCTGCATGTAATGCAAATATTGATTAATTTTCCTTTCATTTCTTTCTTTTATCTTCTTTATTTGTTTTTTTCATATATTCAAGAATACAATGGTGCATAAAGAAAATGAAATACTCTGTGTTACGGTAAGACAATGAAGTTGTTAATTCATTTAAAATGCTCATCTGCTCAACCAGGAGTGCAAATGCTGCAAGAGCTTGTTAATTTCTGGACTAGTTATTAGAAGAGATCCAAGAATTATGCAAGAGAATTTCTTTCAGCCGATTTAAATATGCAAAAAAAAAATTTTTTTTTAGAGTTTATTGTTTTGTTTTCAGCAATATTTTGCACACATTTACTACGATTACATAGTTGGGTATATAAAAATTGCATCAATGCCTCAACCTTAATAAAATTTTCTTTATATCCCGGATGGTACAGGGGACGGATTACTGGCATCCGAATGATATCCATGAAGCAACAATGACTGGTCTATCCGTATCCCATTTAATAACTTACACTGACCACAGTACTGGCGTAAAACATTCCCAGTGATAGAAGGATCATCGATTAGAGTCCTCTCGTTCTCTGGCTGATCTTGAGAGGTTTTAATAATTTCCTTCTCTTTGCAACGTGGATGCGAGTTAATTTTATTCGCAAAAGTTCTCGACTAAAAGTTCTGTGTGAGTATTTTTCTCTTGTCTTCTGCATTGGTCTCTAAACGGTGTTGAAATTGATATATTCGCAGATCCGATATGTATCGGATATTTAAAACCGTTACAAAAATTTAAAAAAATTTCGTTCTTTAATTTATATTTTGTTGAAGAAAATGCATTAAGCATTATACTTGCAAAGATAAAAAATAAATGAAAGTAATGAAGAAATGAATATGTGAAGCTTGTAAGTGATATTTTCAGAGAGGCTAGAATCAGGGTATAAAAGTGTGGTATCTGAACTATTTTATTATAAATTTTTTCAGGAGCCGGATCTTTAATCTTATTTTATTTATTAGTACCTGATTTGAAACAGAAATCATGTGGGCATACTCAAAACTAGTAAGGATTAGTTGTGTTAAAGTAAAAGCAAAAATAATATTGTTGCATTAAACATAAGCATATTGATGCGATCACTTTATGTTATTCCCCTTATTTAGTAAATAACCCTGAAGACTGTTGCAAGTTAAATCAGTCGGGTCACAAATCTCTCCATGTTACCATAACAAATCATACTTCCGGGGGGTATTGAATTTGAGATTGATCGTTACATATCGTTACAAATGTTACAGGGGAAATAAAAATATTTTTAAAGGAAGTTAATATTATAAAATTTTTAAAAAAAATCTCTTCCTCGAAGAAATATTCACAATACATCCACAAGGATCGAACTGGGTTAAATATAATGTTAAGTGACACGATAGTTAGATTCATTTAATCTGAGTCATTCTCAAAAGTAGGAATGTACATTGCCGAATTTACTGTGCACGAAAAGAAAAACGTATAGCCCTAAATAACTTTTGATCTGGTGAACAAATTTTCACGTACTAAGACTCATTCTTAATGGTTCGAAGAAGTGTACTCAAATATGTCAATTAATTAGTGCAGACGATATTGTAAGTTTAAAAAAAACAGGCGAAGAAACGAGCTTTCTCTGAATAAACAGATCCTTTTTTGCGACAAATTTGGATTTCTGACTCCTTAAGTGCCTGGGAAATATGATCCGAATAGTTAGATCAGGAGAGTAATCCAAAGTATGGATCCCTTAATGGGAATTTACTTTTTGTACATTTCGCCACATCTTGGGAATTTCTTAATCGAATTGAAAACTTTTTGCACACAATTATAAACTTCGTCTATCCATAGATAATTCCATGCAAAAATACTTTGCTATAATCCTTTTTTCCTATTTTAAAATTATCGAAAACATTTTGAATTGCAAAGGATACAAGTTTTCACGTAATTGTAAAGAATGCAATATTATAAAGCGAAATACAAAATTTGGACGAAATTTGCAGAATAATTCCCGAGAAATCGATTTTTAAAGAAGTTACATATTGTAGTACTTGAAGATCCGATCAGTAGATCAAAAGTTATTCCAGGTAGTTTTTTTTTCATTCTTTAAAATAACAGAAAACCGTAGTAGAAATTTCGTTTGAAGAAAATATATGTAATATATTTAATTTTTAGGCATTGTAATAAGTTTGAAATAATTATTAAGTAAAGAATAGTACATTATTGGAAATAATTTTAAGTAAAGAAAATTAAAGAAAAATCAAAATTTCTATAGTTTCCTTAAAAAATGTATCTCCTTTTACTTTTAATCAATAATCAATTGTTATTTTAGGTGCAAAATAACATTCAAATATAACAAAATAACAAAAGATAATACTACCAAAGAATGAAATTAAAATTTTAAAACTAAATTAAATACACATCAATTAATCTTGTAGGAAATATGCTGAAAGGTTTAAAACTTAAATCGGGAAACATGACAAGTTTTCAATAATATGAGATGTTGTTAAAACGTGACGGTGTTTCTGTTCAAATTAATGAAGGCAATTGTAAGGCGAACTTCATTTATTGTAGACCGCTTCAAATAACACTTTAAACGCTAAACTAACTCAAATAACGCTTTAAACGAGGTTTCATAATAAGGATAAAATTTCCCGTTTAATGACGAGCTGTCGTAACTTCCCTATACTGTAGGACTGTTCCCTATAGAACTGTTTTTATACGTTCATTTTCTTTTGCGAATTACGGGAAGTTTTATTTTTCCAGTCTATTTTCCTCAAATTACAGTTCATTGCGTTTATTATTTGATTGAGAAAATGATGCAATATGAAACAATAGAATTGCTTTTATTATATTCTTAAACAAATATTTTTCAAGAAATATTTTCCGGAAGTGTTTGGCACTCAGCCTTACATATGAAGGTTTAAATTAAATAGTAGTCTTACTCCACTTGTTAAAAGTAGTGGTCCATCTCTAATTATTTTCCTTTTCGAATAAGTGGAGTATCAGAATTGCTTTCATATGTTTATTATTTTTATTTACGAATTAAGTGGGACTTTCTGACTTTTTTCTTCCATTCTAAGTTTTTTTAACCATTTATTCAATTCAATTTTTTAGAAAAATATATCAGCTATGTTACACATTAAGTCTTTATTTAAATAGTGGCTAAACTCCGCTTATTAAAAACAATGGTCCAACTCTACATGTTAAAAACAGTTGTATAATTCTGCTTATTCTCAATTTCTTGCTGATACAAGTTATTTTTATTTCATTTAAAACTTATTATACCTCCAATTTATATCTGCTTACTCTAAGTTATTTCTAGAGAAGATCCCCAATTATACAAAATAGGAAAAATTATACTTTAAGTACATCCTATGTCTCTGTACCTCGTTATAAGCACAGAGGCTTTTTTGCCTCTCATTTAAAAAAGGCCATCATAACTTTATTTTATGTACACTACTGAAGTACGTATTAACCTATTTCAATTAACGTATTTTATTTATGAACATAGAGTCTAAAGTCCGAATTTTATACGGAGTTAATACATTAGTTACGTTGAAAAATAGGTGCTAATAACTATTCAGATTGGTAAAAAAGAATTCTGAAGCTAAGTATTCCAAGATAAAATAAATAAATAAAATAAGCGAACATTTAAAAATTAAAAAAATATATGATTTAAAATAAAGTATATTTAAGAATAAGAATGACATTTGAAATAATGAAGAAGATTATATTCATTGTATTAAAAAAAGGTGTTTAGGTCAATGTGTAATCACTTGAATTATTTAAAAACTCACACTACCCTGAAGTTTATTGCTAATCATTTTTGTTTCATGGAAAACACTGCAGCTTTAACTAAGTTATGTAATTTTAATGTCATTTATTTATTTAATACTGATATTTTATTTAAATACCGACGCAAATGATACTTTTTCTGTTACCAGAAAATATAGACCAGCGCCATTTTTTTTCCATTTTATTATTTTTTACTTTACTTATTTTTCAAGTATTGAGCAAAATGGACGCTCACAAAAATTAAATAGAAAAAGAAAAGTTTTAAAAAAATATTAAAGAAGAAAATGGTTGAATTTTATGGCACAAACCAAAAAATTCTAAAACGTTTAATTAGAAAGAGGGTGGAAAATAAAAACGTAAATTTTAAAATTTTAACTTTTAATATTGAAGTATAGAATTTATTATATATTTAATGGTTTTAATCTTTAGCGTTATTTAAAAAGAAAAAAACATCAATGACTAAATATTTATGAAAAAGAAACTTACTTTAAAATGCTCACCTTAACAAGTAAGGTAGAAACTCATAAAGATAAAACTTCCTTAGAATGTTTTGTGAGTAATAGAGTCCAATCCAATGGACAATTTTAACAATGAGTGAACTAGATTCCTTAGTCTCACACTCAAAAAAACTCCATATTAATAAAGCAGAGGTCTAGTAAATAAAATGTGTACATCTTATCTCTGCACCCAATGCTATTTCCTGTAATTACTGTAATGTAAGTATAATGTAATTTCTATTTCTTCCTTTATACGGGGTAAACATTATTTT